TAAGAATTCCCACGCAGCTATCATAAAGCTGCACAGGCCTGCAGACGGTGCATGTGCACAGAGAGAGAAAGAGTAATTTCATTTCCATGTTTCAGGAGCCCCTCAACGTGTAGGCCAGCAGCAGGACTATATTTAACAGATGACAAAAGTTGCATTCCAGACGTACAGTACGATCTTTGTGTTGATCTTTGTGTATGGAAGTAAATGGTGAAAAGGAGAGAGGTGAGGGGTGGGGTTAACAACACACAGCTGCTAAGCCAATGCAGCTCCACGAGACGCAGAATTTACAACAGCATTTATCTGAGTTCCCCATTTATCAGTTACAGGACAGGATTGCGTTTGCAGCTTTAAAAACAAACGCGACGGAAATAAATCAAGAAAAAGTCACAACCATGGCATCCGATAAAATTGGAAAAAAAATTGACTATTTCTATTTATTTGCAATACGATTACGAAATTCTTAACAGTCCACATCCGAACAAGAAACCTTCATTAACTATTGAACTAGTGCAGAACATTGTGTATACACAACGCTGCCTTAAAAAAAACACCAGCGTGACACAGGGAGAAAGAGAGAAACAATCAGGGGAGAAAAAGAAAAGAAAAAAACCCCACCAGGTTATTTTCACACACGATCATAGAGAGCAGCCTGCCAAAATCATCAACGTAAGACAACTGAGCACAGCAAGTAGAAAAAAAAAAAACATCTCAGTAAATATTTACAGCACAAATCTTTTCCATTCATTTACCAAGCACTAACAAAACCGTACTGTACTCTTTCACGGCCCACCCCCTCCGACCCCCCCACCCACATCTGCGATTCATTGACTTTACAATTTACCACATGTCGAGATGGGAGAGGTCGGGACTCTATCTGAATCACGACACAAATATGCGAGTGATTTATTGTTTTAAAACCAAGGGCCGTTTTAGTGCAACTCCACTCTTCCTGAGCATTACTCCTATTGGCAGACCATGAACAATTACAGTTTGGACTAATTAAGTCCTGAGAATGTGCTGTGCGCCGCTAATGTCTCACAGGCCCCGCTTTCAGTTTAATGGTGCCAAACTTTGCTCCCCAACTTAACTCGCACAAATCCAAAACAGATTGCATTTTTTTATGGGTGTTTATCAAGCCCCAGCAAACAGAAACCGTTTGGGGTTTGTTTTTTGCGCGCGTGTAGGATGGGAGGAGGAGAAAAAAAGACAAGGAGGAGAAGGAAAGAGTGGTGGAGGGAGAGAAAAAGAGAGTCTTGCTTCCGCCATTCTTTGTAAACAAAAGTGATTTGCAAAACAAAAGGATGGCAACCTTCTAAATAAACTGGGAGTGTATTTTGTGCAGAGCGGCACAAAGCGCGAGCGCGTAGCTCGGTGAACCCCCTGCAGATAGCAATTAGGGGCCATTAACATGTAAAGCCAATTTGATAAGGTATGAGTCTATCCCTGTAAATCCGCATTAAACTATCTTCTGCACCTCACACGACAGGCTATTCAACACACATAATCCATACGATAAAGCATTGTTATTGACGTCTTAGCCTAAAAAGATTCTGCCATGGTTTATTAAAATATGTACATGTAGGGCTACATTAGGGTTGAATGCATCTTTGGCAAAAAATATTAATTACACAAAATCAATTTTGAATTAAATTATACAGTAAATTTAAAATAAAATAAAAATGGGGAAAAAATATTTCAGGTCTCTGCCATGCATCTCCTTTTCTTTGCTCTAAATAGTGCAGAGTGCATTTGGGTGTTGCAAGTTTGTCTTTTTTTATATTATGTTCCTTTTTTAAACTACGCATAATTATACGTTGAAACCTGAAACCTCTGCCAAAAGTCTGCAGGCCTAAGGAATTATGGGGCCAGGGGTGGCGTCAAATATCTTAACATTCATAAGTCAGAGAGGCAGTAAATAAACCCAGCAGATTTACGGGCATAAAGCCCCCTGCCAGAACTCAGCCGGCCAGACCTCTGCTCTACCTTGCTTTCCCCTCTCCACAGACCTGTTGAGGTGCGATTTTAGCCTACAACCACCCAGTTAACCCAGCACCTTTCCAACCACAACACACACGTAGAGTGTGTCCGCCGCGCAAACTGCTCTCGATGAAAGAGGGGGAAGAGTGGCTATTGTCTGCCGTTTTTAGTGAGGGGGAAAAAAAAGAGGATCCAGGCATTGTCGGTAGAACATCACGGCAAATTGCTAATTGCTACCAAATCATCGTGAAGCTTTTCCGACTGAGGTGGTTGGAAATACAAACTCCCGTTATTACAGCTCTCAGAGGTCAGACGTCAGACAAACACACACTAGGGGAAAAGCATTTCATCACTATTGCAAGAGCGGACCATCAGGGAAATTCAGCTGACACATGGTCTGTGTAAATTAAATAATATATTTTTTTAAATGGTCACATCTCTGATATCAACCTTTAGAGAAACATCCACCATAACCTAAATCCTTACAGATTAAATAATGCGGCAGTAGCAAATTTATCCTGAAAACAAAATACTGGATCAATAAATCCATAAATGTTTCATAAATACTTACAAATAAACACATAAATGCAATAAAACTGGAATATATCCTCTGCTTGTTTAATACAATGTAGATTAATCCAATTAATAAAAATACAAGTTAAAATACAATTTAAAAAAAATGCCAAGAAATGCTAAAAAGCACATCATCAGCAGCTAAACCCAACAAGCCCCATGCATTCGTTAAACGGAGCGACAGCTAATCGATGCTCAGGTGAATTATTTATCCTTTACTTAAGTAATGCGTTTATGAATACAACGGCTTTCAACTTCAAAGCGGTGTGGGTCGGACGCCCAGGCAGCTCATAAGTAGCAGACCTCATGGCAAAGAATCGGGGTGAAGGGCTACAACACGATGTCAAAGACTGAGATTTGTAGGCCTGGTTACAGTAAGAGATCAAACATTACAACACACAACTATAAAGAAATTGACTATATCTATGGGTATAATATTTAGGCTAGAGGGTCAGAGCAGACCTGGACTGACTCCCACATATAGGGGAGGATATCAAACAGTGATCCTACTTCCGTGAGAGATCGCTAAATATATTCTCGGTAGCCAAAAATGAATAAGCCAGCGATTTAGACAGGGCTCCATCCCAGCAGGGAGAGGAACTATCAGACTATGAACTCTGGTAACAGCATCTCTGGGATTCTTCAAAACCTGCTATACAGAAGACACACTATATGTCAAATATTTCCTTCTAATGCACATCTGCAGTAGCCATACTGATGCTTTATGAATTTTCTGTCCTTTTTATTTATGTGTGAATGCTTCTAATGTGCATTTACATCAGCAAAGAAATTATCAGCAAGTGAAAGACAGATTCAGCAAAAAGGCATGTTTTGGGATGCACGCAATATCCACGACAAACACAAACAGCCAGAGATGTTTCTACAAAAATGTCTCACTGATACTAGAAACAGCAGAATGCCTTTAAAATACCCGAAGTTAAATGCACAGTTTCAGAGCAGTACATTTCGAAGGTCGTCATTTACTTCATTTCAGGTTACACCACATGTCATTGTCATAAAGCGTACCTTCACGTTTAAGATTAAGCCTAGAGCTGATTATGAAAATTAGAAATGACAGCAAGCTCCTACTGCACAATTTTCCTATCCTTATTATGTTATATCTGCAGCAATGACATCTAAAAAATTATAAAATATCAATTGTGAATAAAAATATGAACCTACTAAATCAACATGAATTATTTCAGGTGCCAAAAAAAAAAGTGCTGGACAAATATGCATAACTATGCATAGCTGATATAAACAACATAATCTGTATTTGCACTGAAATATTAAGCATATATTCTCATTACATGTTATTCAACATTATGCATGCTCTAAATAGGAAGTCCATCATGCCATGACAAAATGTTAATGTTAAGCATAAAACATATTATATTTAATGTGCATTTAAAGCAAATGTTTATTTAATTTCAAAAGAATTCTGACACTAATATTTTACTACACACTGTGTCAAGGGTGGAATGAGCAATATTGTGCTTTCATTCTGACGATCACAAATTCATTGACTGCCTTTCACTAATAACTATAAACATTTCCCATGATGCTCTTTGGCAATAACATTTATGTGCATTGCATTCTTTAAATAACACAAGCAATATTATGTTAAGCTCGGATAAATTAGTCATAAATTAGCTCAGATAAATGAATAACATCTCATTTTAAGTGGCACACTGTAAAAATGTTTTACAGCATCTTTGTTTCCATCCATTTAAACTGTCAAAATAATTTCTGTCATTTCTACTCGATTTTCTTCAGCAGTAATTAAATTCAAAGTGGCAGAAAAACGCGCAGGCTGTAGCCTAACTATAGCAGCACGTTGATTTCATTTTTAAAATATTAAGGCTGCAATTAAACTTAACATTTTAATTTTTAAGTATTAAATGCTTTAGATAACAGAAACGCTTTATTTTTTTTCACGTGTAAAAATCATAACAACGATAGTAATAACAATACTATTATTATGAATTCAAACATTCTTGTACATTTCAGTTTTAGAAATTCCGGAACACCCGCTACTGTACATTAAACGTCTAGACAGAAGCAAGCGAGCGATTTCACTAGTTATTCAAGTGCATAGACGATTAAAATAAATAACACTGTAAAAATGCAGAATCTAAGGCAAATGTAACCTGCCAAGTATGCAAATATATCCGTGGGAAATGAGAAGAAGAAAAAACAACGGAGTTAAAAGTTGCAGTGGCCGTGTGTTTTGTGAACGTCAGGAAAGCACATTATGCGTTCCACTGCACTCGCCGCTCGCAGGCAGCGTTCGTTCAGAGCGACAGCGGATCCGCAGGAACGGCATGCCACTGTACAGTGCGGAGTGAAGTGTGGCAGAAGTTCACGAGCCGACCAAAGCAATCCCTAAACATGGACGTGGTGCTTTAGCTGCGTGTATGTGGCTGCAGAAACACGTTAAAAACACTTACTGTACGAGCGGTGGGTGAGAGCGATCCGTTCGGGAGGTACGGGCTCGTGAGGTCGGGAATCATTATAAATGGATAGCCCGGGTACGGTGGGCTCTTGAACAGCCCTCCATCTTGCCTTTTCGCAGCTAACATGGCGGGGGGGAAAAGAGGAAAACTTTTAGTTTAAGTTACATTCCCCAAAAAAAAAATACTTTGTTCGTATGTGCAGAAGCAAACGGAACCGAGGCACCGTGTTGTTGTCCTCTGCAAAAAGATGATTTAAGAGAAAACAAGCACTCACCCTCCTCTAAACTTTCTCTTGTTTTGTCTCTGAAACTTTCAGATCTAGGCGGAGGCCGTCTTTCCGCCTTGAAATGCAACGAAACACAGGGAATGCATTGAATAATCACAGCGAGGAGATCGTTAGCTAGTTAGCAGCGTGTTTAAACAAGAAAAGTGCATGTAAAGTTGTGGACAAGTCGCGGATTCGCGGTTATTTGTCACTTACCTCAGAATCCGAAGAGCTGTTTTGATTCGTTTCCGACTCGTTTACGAGAGAAGATTTGACATCTGCTAAATCCCTTTCTGCTGAGGAGTTCTCCGAAATCTTTTCCTCCTGCTCGCCTTCGTCTTTGAAGGAAATCATTTCATCGTTCGCACCCAGATCGTCCCCTCCACCGCCGTTCAGCTGCGGCATTTTTCCCGAGGAGCGCTAATTTTGCGGGGGGCCAAAAACACCCAAAAGTTTTTAAACCCTTGATCTTGGTGTGATCCCCGAATCCCGAGTTTTAAGTTTAGGGACTCGCAGTGGCGTTTGGCTGGGTGAGTGTTCAAAACTCAAAAAGAAGAGGGCAATCTTGGCAGAAACAGAAGCCGGAGACGGAGCTGAGGCGCTCGGATTGAGGGAGTTGAAGTTGGTCGGAGTGGTTTTCAGTTCAAAGGCGGCGCTGATTGACAGATAGAGAGGGATGGAAATAGAGAGAGTCTGGATTCGGGATTATTGACAGGGAGAAACACACAAGAAAAAAAACTAATGAGATTCAAACAGGGAGGGACTTGAAGTGACGTTTTCATAAATAGAGAGGGGCAGGAAAAAGTACTGGAGGGGGAAAAGGGCTTGAGCGACAAACACAGAGAGAGGGAGAGGAAAAGAGCTTTTGGTGAAGAGCAGGACAGTTAAAGCGAGTCGACCCTGTTTGCTTTTGTACAGGAATGAATGGAAAAATAGGCGGAAGACACTTGTGCGGTAGTCTGCATGTTTCTGAGCGGCGAGACGGCACACAGCTAGAATCATATCGGCTGCCTTATTTTCTGCAGTTGTTTTAGGAGGTGTCGGTGGGCTGAAATAACCCCACTCGCTCCAAACACGGACTCAAATGACAATACACTCTGAACTGCTCTAAATCAATCCTATTTTTGAAAGCATCACTTCAAAACGATTTTACTTAAAAAGGCTTGACTTGCAAGGCATTTATTGTTTATGTCCTTGTATTGGTGATTTAAAATGTGGCTGGCATTATCCTACGTAGCCTATATAATCTTATATAGCCTGCTGAAATGTTTTTTTTTAATCATTATATCAACATCTTTGTCGTCAAAAAACGTAACTTCTCACTGCAGCTTGTCACTTTGATTTTACATTAAAAAAAATAAAGTTCTTTTTTGTGCGTTAAAATTTCTATCTATATAAGGTAATATATAGGATAGTTTCATGCATACATATTTTCCTATAGGAAACTTACATTTACTTACATGTAAATATAAACACTTACATGCATATATTTTCCTATATATAGATAAAACACAAAAAGTTTGTTTTATGTAAAATAAGGGATTAAATTATATGAATATATACACACGCACACAATGCAATGTATTTCTAGGTATATTACATTAAAATGTATACACACTGATACAATTAATAAAGGTATTGTATTATCATATATATATATATATATATATATATATCTGTTGGTTCTGAGACAGACAGGCTAATTAAGGCCAGATAACCTGTATTCACTGTGAATAAAGACAAGGGGGGTAGGGGTTGAATATCTTTTCTTGCACATCTCTACAAAAATGCAAGAACAAACTTTTTGCATTTGTTTGTGGGCGTATGCTTTTGGTTTGTTCATTTTGGATTGAAATAAAGTGTATGTATACATACATGTACACATCAAAAAAGATTATGAATTTAAAACAAAACTATGGGTAGTTTCCCAAAATTGTATGAGCTATGAATTATACTCCAAAGCCATTCCTTTGTGTTTTGATTAGTACTGCCTAATATCCTCAGCCTGCTGACTCATAGCATTTTCCCCTTTTAACATTATTTGCTTACTTGATATTTAAATTAGCCATTTCCTTGCATCCATTTTAACAGGCAAGGTCACACAGGTATCAGAAAGCTTCATTCTTTTCCCTATACCTGAATTTCACTGGTGGAATTATGCAGAAACAACGTCATTTGAAGGACCTTGCAGTGTTGCCTTTATAATATAATACACTGAAAAAACAGTATTGGTATCATGCATATAAATATACAGCATGCCTATACAATATATAATGTTTAAATGTTAAAATTTGTACTCCCAATAATTAGAAAATGTTATTATAATATAAGCAACCATATATATTACAAAGACAGCGATATAAGAACTGACAAAAGAAAATAAAAATAATATTTCATATATACACAAATAGCACAAAATTATATGATTTGCGATTATAATAATCTCCCAAAACAGTTGCAGAAATGCAGCATGGCACATCTTCACATTCTTTGAAGTTATTTATAAGTATAAGATCTATGGGATAGATATGCATCCTTAGTTGTTATAGAGTGAGTCAATATGATTGAACAATAACGACTCAGTATTTAAAATGTGCTGTCAGCAGCTGAAAGATGCCCCATTGCTTTTTGACTTCAGAAGTCTGGAGCCTGCAGATACCAGACCAAAGCAGCTGAGCTCCTAGCTAGCATCTCCCTGGATTGCCTCAGCAGGTTACTGAGAGTTCACTTAGATTGGGTGCGTTTTATCAGCCTTGCTAAGCCAAGCCTTGCTCTATTTATTTCCCTGCTGGATCTAAACCTATGACCAATCCATGTGTTAAACCACGCTTCAGACTGACCTATTCTTTCTGTGCCAATATGTTATCATGCGCAAATAAACAAAAATGGAAAATACTGTTTATTTCAGATTTGACAATAAAATAAGAGACGAGCTTTGATTTCTGCACACTTACCCTTATATCTCCATACTGCGTTCTGTGTAAAACGTTACCTGATAAGATATTTGCGTCTGTGCAAACGGTTAATTACCCACAATGCCTGCGTGTTCCTGTGCTGGATGAAATGGCTCTGTTCTTAATTAGCATATTATGGGCTCTGTTAATGGTCTTCCCGGTTGTAACAATATGTGCATTTTAAATAGTGAATACAACATGATTTATGCCAGATCCCCTCTAAGCTAGTTGAAAAAAACAAAAAAGTTTTATAGTTTTTACAAGTGGAACTTGGCATTTAACCTTTTCGCATTTAGTCAGTTGCAAATTTCCCCATTGTGAGAGAGCCTCTGCGTACCATTTCAGCATTTTTTTTTCCCCTGTAGGAGCTCAGATGAATGGATTTTATCCTGTGAATAATGACGTGGTTAACCACAATTATGCGATTCTAATGGATCTGCATGTTTTGCAGGCAGAGACCAACAATAGGGAAATTATTTTCTTTACATCATTATGCAAAGTTTCATTTTATAATGTATATTTAAGGGCACACTGAAAAACGAATTGTGTTACCCTCAACATTTTGAAAAGATTTCAGTCAGAGAGCAGTCAGAACAGACTCATTTGCATGTGAGTAAATGAGTTTTGATGGACTGGAAATGTTAATAGATTATTAAAGTTACAAACAAAGTCTAATCTTACAGTGCATCTTTCTTTCTGTTATTGTATGAATCACAGGATTTGACTCAGAGATGTGTCATTTAATTGGTTCTGTGAATCCAACTTGGATCCCCACATCAGCATTTAGACCTAGAAAGCTGTTTTTGAGAGTTAAAACATTGTAGTCCCATCCACAGCACTAACTGTGTCTGAACATGTCTCTCAACCCTGCTGGAGTCTGTCAAATTCTCCATAGTGGGAAATGTATTTGGGAAAGGAGGAGCACCGAATCTGTTTTCCAAAACAAACAGCAGACTTTTCATACATGGACGCGACAGCCATTTATCAAGGTTTGGGTTTGGAGCAATACAAATATGTAGCCACCTGAAGAGGCGCATCAGCGTGTACGTATCACATCTCTTAAACTCTGCGGTCACAACGAATATCGGAGCCAAGGCACACACAGAGGAAACTCTCTGACATCACACCAAACCTACATTACTCAGAGGATGAACCCATGACCCCAGAGTTATCTCTTGAGCACAGCCTCAGCATCAAATGCTCTCTCTTTCAGCAGACCGTCGATTCCTGCCCACAGTTTTCATATAGTCTGTAAAAATTATACTAATGTCAACAACAGCTTGTCATGAAGACAAAAAGCTTAATGTTGTATGATTACATTAAGTCCTTTGGATCTTTGTAATGCTTGTGCTTTAGCTTTCTGTGCTCTCTGTTATCCAAATATTTACCATTTATGAGTGCTTCTCTATAATAGATTAGTTGGGTTTGTTGAGTAGATATAGTTTTGGATTTAGAAAAGCACAGACACTGGACTAAAAGGTGGGTAAGGCACTCTTATTTAGGTTCTTATTTGGGTTCTATAAAGAACCTGCAAGGGTTCTTTATTCAGCTTCAAATAACTTTATGCCAATAATAACAATAAATGTATGAAAACCCTAATAGTATTGATAAACAAATGGCACAAAAAGGGTTTTACACTAACAACTTATATTAAATAATACTTTAAGTCATAGTAAATAATACTAATACCTATTATTAATATAGTATTCCAATGCTATGGATATGATTATTTTAGTTTTAAGTGATAAAGTATCAGTTCACATGATAAACTATTTAATTCACATATCCATGAACTCTATATTTGAACGCATATTTGAAATCTATAGAATTCAGTTGAAATTCCAAAACATGAACATTCCAGTTCCAAACATGAAGTCAGCAATAGAACTCGATAGAACTAGACTTATATAGAACTTTATAGACTATAGCCTTAAGATTGTGAGAATTTTGTTTTTTTGGGTTTTAGATTAGAAAACACTTATAAATGCTGTTTTAGACCTATATTTTCTGCTGGTGATCCCAAATCTCATATTTGCTGAACATTTGTTCTAGCAGCAGCCCTCTCATTATTTTGGTTCAAGGACGTGTCCGAAAAGCTTCTTCCTGAGCAAGATACAGGAAACAGCAGGCAGTTTCCCAGGCTGAAAGAGCAGGAAAAATTTTCAACACAGTAGGGGCAATGGCTGACAGCTCATAGATCATAATGCATGTGGGTTTGAACTATAGACTATAGATATTAGTCTCAGAAGGATGTGTTTTACATCATGAACATGCATCCGCTCCATTCTAAACATCAGGATCAAATGTATACAGCTCTAAATGCATTTAAACAATCCATAATGTAATAGACACACAGGTTGCTCTTTCATACCTCAGGAGACTTGATGGAGGTCTCAGTTCAGATTTGTTCTTCTGAAACTCTTTAAATTAGAAACAAATATGGCAATTGTTGCATTCAAGAGTACAGAGATATTAATGTAAAGTAAATGAATGTAGATTTCTTCTGAAACTCTAAAGAAGATTCATTTTCCTCAATTGAAATATTTGAAAGCATTCGATTCAAGTCAAAATCTCAATTTGCTCACCATCTAATCACTCTGCATACTAGAACAAACAACAAGCATATTAGAAATGGACTTAATTCAAGTTTGTTTTTTGTTTTTTTTGCCTATGAGAAAGTCTATAGAAACAGTAGTTCATCAAATCTCAAACATGGTTCTCTGCTGAATCCTAGATGAGATTCCACCTGCATTCTCTGCATACCATGGCTTAATTAAGAAATTAATGCAAGAAAATTGATCTGGCTAACAAGCCCTCCACCAATCA